CCACTGCTGTAATCTCTCTTCTTGTTTCTTTTCTTTTTCCTCCAACAACTGTTGTAATATCTCTTCTTGCTTCTTTTCTTTTTCCTCCAACAACTGCTGTAATCTCTTTTGTTTATTTTGCTGTTCGAGCTGCCACTGTTGCAAGTTATCTTGCCACTGCTGTAATCTCCCTTCTTGTTTCTTTTCTTTTTCCTCCAACAACTGTTGTAATATCTCTTCTTGCTTCTTTTCTTTTTCCTCCAACAACTGCTGTAATCTCTTCTTGTTTATTTTGCTGTTCAAACTTCCACTGTTGCGGGTTTTCTTGCAACTGCTGTTGTCTCTTTTCTCGTTCTTCTTGTTTCTTTTGCTGTTCTTGTACTGCCGCCATCAAATCTGCTAAGCTGCAGTTTGATTTGCCACCTCTCATTTCCATCTTCTTCTTCTTTTTTATTTTTATTTTCGGTCCCACTCTCTGACACCAATTTGTTATATCTCTGGTCGTTTGTTAATTTCCTGTATAATTTCTTTCAAATGAAACTTTAGCGATACAAGTCCTTTCTTAAATAAAACTAGTTTATTCTTTCTCAATACAACTTTGCAATACACTTAATTTCCACAGTCACTTTAACTTTAACACACGCTATAATTCACAACGATTCACGCACTTTACTTACGGTCACTACCGCGTTTGACTCATTTTTCGGTCTCTATCTCTGCCTGTCTGCAATTCAATTAATTATCTCGCGTTATTTGCCTGCTTATATACTAAAATAGAGGGCGCGTAGAGAAGACTAGAGTTGCCAGGAAGGGACATGATCTTTCTAGAAACACCAGCGCACATGCTTCCAGTGTCGCGTGACTTCCGCTGTCGTAACAATATGTTTTCAATGAAATATCCAGTTTTTGATTTAATTTTTTTTTATCAATCAAAAAGAAGTAAGCAAAAACTTTGTTTTTTATATCACTGACTATAAATATTATAGAGACAGACAATTATTTTTACATTAAATTTTGACTGAAACATATTTTATGTCATTACCGAAGTTTTATTTCATGGGCTTATCATATTAAAAAAAGTTTACATTAATGACGTCATAGTTTGAAAATGGTTTAGCAGACGAAGGAACACCAGGTGTTGTGCTGTTCACATACGGTGTGGTAATACTATTGATTTACGTCGTAACTGTTAGTAGGACGTGATACAGGTGCATCTTGTGATGTGTAACTGTATAACGTACAGGTCGCTGTTAGTAGAAGTATGATGATGGGATACACCAAAGCACTAAACATCTGTGGATGTATACTTTGAACTTTCTGACAATATCTTTGACTGTCGGCAATAGCTTCATTCGTATTACTATTAGGAACTTGTTCTCGAACTTCGAAGTTGCTTATTTACCTTTTTATTCAGTAACTGAAGCGCGTGAGAGATATAAATACCTTTCCTGTAGTCCTTCATTACGAAGCATGGGGCGTTACGGTAAAATCCGCGATACTTTAAGCAGAAGTTTCCGAATGCAGCAAAATATATTCTGTGTGAATCGAAGGTAAAGAAAAGTAGAAAGTTATAAGTGTGGGGTAATGGCACTGTTACTATAATTTGTTTATAGTTATAACCATAAGCTTAACATTTGAAGTGTTTTATTTTGAACCTTAATATTAAATTATCCATAATTAAATGAAAATACGTTTTGTATCCGCATAAATTTGGAGACCTGACAATCTGTGAAATTTCTGCTATCGGAAGTTATGTAATTGTAATACAGTAGTATTATAAAATATAAATTTCACTTTCTGAGCAATATAACATCTCACCATACAACATTAGTCATGGTGAATTCGATGTCCAAGTTAATACATCGTACAGCAGAGAAGGCAAATGTACCCCCAGAAGTTATCACAAGAGGAATGACTGTAGCTATTTTAGCAGTCTACGCCTTAAGAATTGGATATCCAATTTTATGTAGTTCATTGACTATAGTTGGGAATAAAGCTAGAGAAGCACAAGAAAAAATTTCTAGCACAAGTCCAATTAGATCCTTGGAAAGAAATCAGTTGTTAACTGATGAGGATGTTGAACAACCACTTAAAACATTTGAGAAAAAGTCAAGAAAGGATAGTAAATCGTTGACAATACAAGAGCTTACAGATGGCTTGACGAAACAGAAGTTACATTTGTCACCAGCATTTAACAAGCAGTTTTTGCTACAGCTTGTAAAGCTAATCAGGATTATGATCCCTAAAGTACATTCAGTTGAGATGGGTCTTCTTGGCTTACATACTCTGTCTTTGGTAACAAGATCATTTTTGTCAATCTATGTTGCAAGGCTAGAAGGTCATGTCGTTAAAAATATAGTTAGGAAAGATATCATGAAATTTGCTTTGCAACTTTCCAAGTGGCTTCTAGTGGCAATACCAGCTACTTTTATCAATAGTCTTATACGGTTTTTGGAAAGTCAGCTAGCATTAGCATTCCGTACTCGTTTGGTTCGTCATGCCTATGATCTGTATTTTAAAAACCAGACTTACTATAGAGTAAGTAATTTAGATGGCCGCTTAGAAAATGCAGACCATTGCCTGACTGATGATATTACAACATTTTCTCAGTCTGTTGCTCACTTGTATTCCCATATCACTAAGCCATTTTTAGATGTTGTGATTATTAATTTCACATTACTTAAAATGGCTAGAAGTATGGGATCTTTTAGTGTAGCTGGAAATGTTTTAGGAGGAGCAATGGTCTCTTTAACAGGACACATCCTTAGGAAGCTCTCACCAAAGTTTGGAAAACTTGTAGCCGAAGAAGAGAAACGAAAAGGATATTTAAGATTCATTCACTCTCGACTCATTGCTAATTCTGAAGAAATAGCTTTCTATGGAGGACATGAGGTATGTTACATCTGTATCAAGTATGGTTGCACTTAAATATAAAATTATTGGTAAAACTTTTGCTAGCCAATGTTATGTGTACAATACATATACTACAGAACAAAAAACCAGTTAAAAAATAATTTGAATTTAGAATATCTTAGTTACAATACTAGTCAAAACCACAGTTATAAAATAATCCCAATCACCTTACCCAGATCATTTTTCTGCATATCAGGTATCTGATGATCTGTGAAGTGATCTGAAATGCAAATGGTTGTTTTTTCTTGTCTACACATGTAGGTGAGCACTTGGTATAGAACTATATAGGTGACTTTGCATCTTCACAGTTTATGAAATTTCACTAAAATGTATAGTAAGGTCACCACAACCAGCAAGGAGGATGTGGCACTGATGTTGCATGCTTAATATTGATGTTTAGAAATGATGTTTTACAATTTGTCTAAATGAGGGGTCATTAAAAACTTCTCTGAGATATTTGTTTCCATGGCAACCTAATCACTATGAAATGCTATGGTTAAGTATGAATATTCCTAAAGCATGCCGTACATATACAGCGGGAATGAAGTCTAGTCAGCATGCAATCGTCATTTCATTTGGTCAGTCACCTCTTTAACTAACAACACTTTAAGATACTATAGCTAATTCATAACAGTCTTGCTGTAATTCCCTTGGAATTGACAAAACAAGATCGTGACAGGTCATAATCATAAGCATTTTAAAATCACAAAATAGATAATCAGGTTCCTGAGATGCATAAAAATAGTAAACTAAAGGGCATGATTGACATAACACTGCTTTTGTAATGATGTTGTTATTATTTTACAAATTCTGATTATATTATAATTGATTGTGCAATTTTGTATAGAAGTATTTGTTTGTTGAAATATTAATGCAAAAATTAATATTCAGTTGATTTGATAAAGAAACTCTGAGTAAAATTATTAAAATATTCTGTGATAAATATAAAGAAGGAAACATTAAGGAGATTTTGCTGATCATTTGAATAAGTATTTTTAGTTATAATAAGGTTATTTAAACAACTTGGCACTACTTTTATGTGGATGAACACCTTATCTCGTATAAAGGCTTATGTAGAGTCTGAAAATTGTTAGTTACAGTGGACTTAATGGGTGGTGGTTGGGAGTTATGATAGTTAGTTTAGATAACTTGGTTGGGATTTTATACTTTTATACTAGTATAATTTGTCTACTGTGCTACTGATAGTGCTTTACTACTATAATGGGGGATGGAATGCCAACCTCAGGAGGTCAGTTTACCTTACTTACCCCCAAGTGGTAGTACCTTATTTTCTTTTTATTCCCTTCTTTTTTTTATTTAATTCCTTTACTTTGGAAAGCAGTTACCTTCCCACAACTGTCTGCAGGCAGTAAAGGGTGATATAGATGTTGGACTTTATGGGCTATAGCACCCACATCGCGCTTTCCTAATTTCTACTTTTGATTATTTTATTTTTTTGAATTTCTTCATGTGAGACTAGTGAACGGAGGTTAAGACTGATAGATGGTGTATCTCCACTGCAATGTGGGTTCTATGTCCGCAGTCACCTCCAAAACCCAGGACACATTTCAAATCCCACATTATAGCCTGTGCCCTGGATATCCTCTGGATTTGTGCAACATCTTTATTTGACTTTTGTTTGGGCTTATTTTTGTTAATTTTGTATTGCTTGACTGTTCGAGTATTGATTTTCTGTATGTATATATATATATATATATTACTGTCTACAAAAAGTGAGCAAGCTTTATACATGGGATGCAGGATAAAGTATGGAATTTTAGGATGTAACATATACCTTAAAAAATCTTTGTATGGGAAAAACCATTATTTTTGTATAAATAAAGAAAACAAAGTGTTTTATGTATTATTGAATAAGATTGACTAAATATGTTTTAACTTCAAGGAGTTCACAGATCAGCAGTCCAATCATTATTGTTTAATTATCATTCTCTAAAAACTTATTGAATAAATTAATTTTAAGAATTACCTATAAACTTTCCAATGTTGAGCAACAACTGTATTAGTCTTACTCGAAGAGAGAGCTATACATAAGCTCTCATAGTTAGTATAAAGATTATGCCCAGTGTCTATAACATGTCATGTACATTGACACTGAGTGTGATGGCTGAAGCACAGGAATAGTAGGTCCATTTGACATTTTTTTTTATCAGTGGAATAACATTTCTGTTAGGTTACAGAAGTCCAGTACACAGAACAAGATTTTGTGCTATCTTGCACAATATACAGTTGAAAGAACACACTTTTGTGGTAGCGGTTAGTGAAAATACACAGTAAATAGAACAACTTGTCAGTATTGGACAATCTGAGACTGAAGAGGATAAATGAATGTGTCAAAATTAGGTTCACCAGTGTAAAGACTCCTGGCAATTTGTTACATTTACTGTGGTTTTTCACTATGTGTAGAATGGTATCTTAAATGTTTTTGTAACTTGGACCTTATACCCTGTGGTCAGTATAAAAGTGACACTTGGTGTGATTTTGCACAGCCATTGCCTATCACATACACATTCCTTATTAAGAACTTGTAACATGAGAAAATGACACCCCACAGTTGTACAATTGGAGAAAGAATGAAATGAATTATAAATTATAGTGTTTCCCTCAGAAAACATGCCTAATAGCTTCTCTGTGCTGTTATTCCAAAATATAATTGTGACCAAATTTAATTAAAATAAATAATATATGATTTCTTTTTACACAAGTACTGTTGAAGCTATAAAACCATGAAAAGCTCAACTTGTTTATCATTCATTCTAAGGTAACATGTAAAATAGGTCAAATATCCGGGAAGCCTGTCATTGTGGGGAGAGCTGTGCACATTACTCAGCCTACAGCAATTGCCAGAAGTAGAGAATGTACCTATAGTACAGGATACCTGTGTAATCCAAAACATTAAAACAACTAATGTCTTACTGTAAGAGCTATTTTTGTCAGTATGAATATATGTACTGGTAGGTGTACAGTGATCTTTCAGGTACATGTATACTTTATATATATATTTTCTAAACATCTAAATTTGTTTACATTACTTTTATTTCACCAGAATGTATTAATGATTGTTAATTTTTATATTTGAGGAAATTATATTGTGCAATTCCCAAGATATGATAAGGTAACAGAAGGCTGATTACTCTTAAGCAACATCTACCAATCACATTTCAAAATGTAAGTGTATGAACATGTACATTGTAAATGTACAACAAACACTGAATTAAACTTTTTTGTTCTTCCTAATATCTATAAAACTATGAAAATGTTATAAAGAACTGACAATATCTTTTGTGTATTTTGAAAAATATTAAACAATAACACAAACGAGTAATTTTTATTAAAATTGTTTTTGGTATATTATTTACATTAGGGTTTTAAAAGAAACATCAGATGATTGTTATGTGATGTATTTTGCATAAATATAGCCTGCTCTTCCAACTTGGAATTTTGGTGTTTATGATATGCATTATGTATTTACACTGAATGTATATGTATGTTACAGTATGAAGGCTGTAAACATATTATTGTTTATTCTGTGTTTTTCCTTCTTCACTCCATTTACCTATACTTCAGTAAATGGCTTCTCTGTAAGACTTGGAAGACCTTGTTACTTTAATTACTGGTACTTATACATCTACAGTAGTATTTTAATTGATGGACAGGATAATATTTACAGATTTTTACCACATAAATACTGATATTGTATGAGTACTTTTGCTGAAGGTTAATTTCAAGTGGAGTTATATCCTTTATCAGCTGGCTGGTAATGTTCAAAATAACAGCAAGGATTTTTTTTTTAAATATGTTACTGTTAATTTAAAGTGGGGATTGGGCCCTTCAAGGATGTTGATGGAAAGGTTTTTGTTGAAGAATATGAGGTGACTGGGCTTTAAGTTTTTTTTCTGTTTTCACAAGAGAAGATAATTGCAGTATTTCTGTCTTGAGATTCTATGTTAAATATTGGAATTAACCTGAATCATGAACATATTAATTCATTTGTGGTAAGTATAAAATAACAGAGAATAGAAATAATACAGCATCAAGGCCAGACAAGGTTTTCCCCATGGTTGTTTTAAAAGAGATAATCAGATATGCAAACCTCTTTATTTCATTTTGGCAGGTCAACAGACAATGGGCAGGTGCTTGTAAATTGGATAGTTTAAGTAGGGGAGGGTAATAAGGGTTGTCTTGGAAATTATAGGACAATTAGTTTAACATCTGTAGTGGGAAGAATTCTAGAATCTGATAAAAGAACATGTTTAATATAGATGGGAACCCACTCAATAGTGTGGCTGAAGAAAAGGATCTTGGCATAATGATGGGTAAGTTGTTTAAACCATTGAAGTAGTGCTCTGTTGATAGTGAAGCTAATAGAATTTTAGGGTATATTTAGAGAGACAATAATTACAAGTCAAAAGATGTAATAATTTTGTACACAAAGCATTAGTTAGGCCACATTGTGATTACTGTGTACAGTTGTGGTCTCCATTTCTAAGAAAGGATATTACTTGTAGATTGTTGAGAGGAAGACTGTTAGGGTTATCTAATAGGGATAGTTTAAAATCTCATAACTTATTTCTTTTTGAGAAAAGATAGCTAGGAAGTGGTATTATTGAAGTTTAAAAGACTATTTGGTTGGATCAATAGGATTAAGGCCTTTGATTTCCTTGTACTGCATTCTGAAGACAGTTGGATGAGAGGACACGAGCTTAAATTTGGGACGGACAGGCTAGAATCCAGTTAAAACAGTTTTATTCTTCTAATAGAGTGATTGACTTATGGAATGAGTTGCCATCAGGAGTAGTAGAGGCCAACACTTTCCAGGATAGGGGAATTGCTGGTTTCCTGAAAAAATAAATAAATCTTTGCTTTTCTCTAGGGTAGGTGTTATAGGACAGCCTTTAATAACCAAATGGTCCCTTGTTGTTTATATGTTAAGATTAACAGTGACACTGTAGTGGGCAACATTCATATAACTCATTAGTGTAATGTTTTTTGCTTAAAAGTATAATAGATGCATACATATAAGGTATACTGATGGTTAACTGTATTTTTAAGGAAAAAGACATTACATAGTCTACAATAATTGCCAGGAGCAGAGACCGTATCTACAGTACAGTATGCCTGTATAATCCTAAATGTTAAAGTAACTAATTATGTCTTAGAGTAAGAGCTATTTTAATCAGTATTGAAATACTGTATACAGGTATGCATGCATTAGTGGTCTTTCAAGTAAATATGAGGCCCGGTGGTTAGAGAGCTCGATTCGCAATCTGCTGGTCACGGGTTTGAATCCCCATCCCACCAAACATGGTGTTATAATGTGATGGTCAATCCCACTATTTGTTGGTAAAAGAGTAGCCCAAGAGTTGGCAGTGTGAGGAGATGACTAGCTTCCGTCC